ATCTGGAAACTGAAGGAACAACCCATCACCCGCCAGCTCTATGCAGGGCACTAGGTTCCGTGGGCTCCCTCCCTCCCTCCCTAACTGTCACGCAGATAAGGAGCCAGCCCTGGGCTCCCCAGTTCCAAACGTCCACCCTCTGAGTTTGTGCAACTGATGAACCACCAGGGTAACCAGCACAGGAAGTCGTCCACTGTTCCAGGCAAGCAGGTGGGAATTTTTTCAGGAAAATGGTGATTTTCAACCAAATTGATTAAATTTCCCCGAGTGTGGAACTGGGCAAAGGAATGACCTTTTCTCTGATCGAAGCATGGACAGAAGTCACCTGTGGAGTTGCAGCTTTTTCAGTGGCTGTTGCTTTGAGTTGGGACAGATATTTCCCAAAAGCTTGTGTTGTAGAAGAGCACTTTCTGGCACGCATGTGTACCCCTAGTTGGCTATGCAGGCTGAGCCTGCTTTATTTGGAGAGGCAGCACTGGGCAGTACAGAGTACTCTAGCTGGTGGCCTGGACCCTCATCACAAGCCTGGTCCTGCACCAACCTGGTACTTCTCTTCTTGGTCTCAGGCTCCTCCTCTGTGAACTGGGAATAAGAATACTGCCCAAACTCAGACACTGGCTAACTAAAATGGGGGGTGGGAGGGGAGTTATAAAGGCATGAAGTGACTGGCTTACAAGTTTTCAAGGAGTTTAGTTTCACAGCAAATTGGGGAAGGTGGAAGCCCCACTGAACAGTTTCTATCTTATCTAGGTGGGTCAGGTGAAAGGAGATGGGGGTAAGATTTTTTTAAATTTAGTATTAATTGTTATCATGAGTCCTGGTGTGACGCTGTGGGTTAATGCACTGGACTGCAAAATCAGTTTGAACTGTAAGGTTGGCAGTTCAAGCTCACCAGTCACTCCTCGGAAACCCTATACAGGGTTGCTATGGGTCAGAACCAACTCCATGGCACTTAACAACAATTGTTATGACTAATTGCGATTGTCATAATTGTAAAGGTAGAAGATGTGTAACAAAAAAGGGGGAGTGGTTGATCTTGCATTCTAGGAACAGAGGATCCTGGGACCAGCAAGAGGGAAGAACAGGGGCAGAGCATGGGATCCTAACCAGAAAGGCAGCAACACCAGGGTCAAAGGCAAAGACAACGGCATGGAGAGATAGAGCATCTGAGGACTCTAGACTCATGAAAGGGGAATGGCTGTGTGCTGGCAGGCAGGGGGCTGGTCTGCAAAATGTGCCCTTTGGTTGTTTAAACAACTATATATTCATGCATGTTTTTGTATACGTCAAGAGAGAAAAGAGAGGATTGTAATCATTGCAATAAAACAAGATAAAAAAAAGAAAAGAAAATGTGCAACAAAACTCAAAATTATATTTAATAAAAAGATCGAGCTTACTGGTCAGAATGAGACTGGAGGAATCTAACACTATGGCCCTTACCAGCCTTCAGATCTGGAATGGAATCCACCCTCATGGCCCAATTTTCAGCCAAGCAGTAGATAGGTATATAGGGGGCGTAACAACACTAGTAAGGTATGCTCACCATAGAATGGACAATCACTCAAGATCACAGGGCAACATTTCCCTGAGGACCAAGTTGAGAAGGGATGGGAAGGAGGGGGAATGGACATAGGAACCACAGGGA